GATTTGGGGGTGGGGGTAGGGGTAGGGGTAGGGGTGGGATGGGATGGGAGGAAGAAGACAACTGGTTTTTTATTCTTATTTCTTATTTTTTCTAATTTTATTTTTAACTTATTTTAATGTAGTAAATTGAAAGTTATTATATTACCTTTTGAAAATTATTAAAAATGCGATCAAAGTCAAATTTCTCGGTCAATTAATAGACATTTGGATTAAAACCGTCCAAAAGGGCCTCCGCATCAACGTTTCAAAAGATTTGGGGTGACGATTGCAATAGAACAAATGTTTGGGAAAAGTTTGCTAATGTTATAAAGGTTTTGGACATCTACTGCAATTTTCCCTAAAAATTTTTTATAGTTCAATCATGTAATCTTACTTTAATTTTGTTTATTAAGATCAATAATACTCTACTATGATTTAAATTGAATTTTAATTTAATCTTATTATGATAAATGGATACTATTTGATCTTTATTAAGGAACTTTGTCCAATTGTTAATGAATGGATAAAGTAGCAACTAATAAATGATATTTATTATACGTGTTATAAATGGTAAGTTTACTAATGAATGACAATTACACCTTACAGTCCTACAACTTAATACTATTACATCGCTGATTGTATCATAGAAATATAGGGATTTAGTTCTTAATAAAATACACACAAATTTATTAACTTTTATTATTTTTTTTTCTTTTTTCATAATACGTTATCAGCACGAAAGCTTAATTTTTCAAAGTTTAGTGAAAATAATAATTTTTTTTAAACATAATCATTCATCACATGTACCACAATTACTTTGGTAACATATGAATGAATTAATTAATTATATACACACACATGCAGATTACAGGTTTATTACTCTTGTTCATCTATCAATGTAATTTTTTTTTTTTCAATAAAGCATTAAATTCTCTATCGCCAACCGTTGCGTTCATCCATCAATTTACGGCACTCACAAATCAATTTTTGGCATAATAGATTTTGGTTTTACAATCCAAGAAGTCAAGCATATGCAATCACTAGGTTTCCTTTAATTCACAGCACTCATAATTCTTTAATTCTATTTGCATATCCTGTAATTATGTATGCTACATGAATCACACCACCAGCCATGCATAATTAGTTTATGATTACTGAAGAAGTAGAATTTTTGTACTGCTAATCTATAAATTTTGATATAATTATGGGATAGTTGCAACTGTTGCTGTGCTGCAGTCAATTTTTTTTTTTTTTTATATGTTTAGTAAAATTAATTAATCTTGTGTGGTTCGTGTATATTACATCTATCTTTTTGTTGTTCTTGAAGTAACATAATATTTAATTAATATTTCAAAAGAATATTAATTATAATTTCGTTGTTACCTTGAAGTATCACAATATTATAATTTTAAATATGCCTGAAAAAATATTACTTACTCCTGAAGAATATAAATCATATTTTTCAATATTTCAGAAAAATATTGATTTATTAAAATATAAGTGCTCTCGAAGTAGCACATATTTCGAAAAACTTATTATTTTAAATTAACGTTTCCCTAAAGGAAAACACATAACTTATGTTATGTTGATATTAACTACTTGATTAGCTATTATGTATTCTTCGAAACTAATTGTAATTTCTTTTACTTCATTGTGTAGTTAATCAAATGGGAAATATCACAAAAGTTGAGTTTGCTGCACTTGACATATCCGACAAAAATTATCTGTCATGGATATTTGATGCTGATATTCATCTCGTCTCAAAAAGTTTGGAAGAAAATAAAAAAAGGAAACAAAGAGTCTCTGCAGGATAGTGCAAAAGCACTCATTTTCCTTCGTCATCATCGTTTCGATAGATTGAAAATTGAATATCTCACTGAAAAAGATCCACAAGTTCTTTGAAAAAAATTAGCTGAAAAATTTGATCATCAAAAGGTTATAGTCCTACTGAAAGCATGCTATGAATGGATGCACATTCGTTTGCAAGATTTCAAAATTTTTAGTGAATACAATTTTGAACTATTCAAAATTACCCTTGTGTGGAAAAAATCACAGATGAAGATATGTTAGAGAAATTTTTTTCGACATTTCATGCCTCGAATGTGCTCTTGCAACAATCATATCGTAAGAGTGGTTTAAAAAGTACTCAGAACTTATATCTTGCCTGCTTGTTGCTGAACAAAATAATGAACTGCTAACGAAAAATCATAAGTTACATTCAACTGTTCTATACCATTACTTAAAGCAAATACAATATCAAGATAAGGACGTGGATGTGAATATGCACACGAATTTGGATGTGGAAGCGGGTTTACACGTGTAATAAGTCAAAACGAAATAATCAATAAAGTTATCAACAAGATAATAATTACAAAATGCACAAAGTAAACGAAAGTAGCATATCCAAAAAAGAGCACGAAGAAAGTTGCTTTAGATGTAAAATGAAAGGATGTTGGGCACATATCTGTCGCATGGAAAAACATCTTGTGGATCTTTACCAAAAATCAATCAAATGAAAGGGAAAGATGGAGACAATTTTTGCTAATTATGATGATCCCATTAATATGACTCATTCGGATGTCTCTGATTTCTTTGCTGATCAAAATGGGAATATTGACCATTTGATTAGGGGTGGTGTGATAGAAGATATATATTAATTTATTTTCTATGTTTTTAGTATTTTCATCTATTTTAGAAATTTAGTTTAAAATATATTTTTACTTTTCATAAATAAAAAATAAAAAATTGAAACTTTATTATGCATCACTAGTTTCACAGTATTGAATTATATTTACAATTTTAAATTTAAATTCAAGTTTTTTTAAAATATATCTATTTTGTTATATTTATAGATTCATGATAGATTGTTATATTTATAGATTCATGATAGATTACAAAGATACCTGCTTGACTGATAGTATAACTACATATATCATTCTTCAAGATTAAAAATATTTTTGGACTTAACAGTAGTAGAAAAATTGATAATACGATATCAGGTGCATGAATATCGTTGAAGAATTCGGAAGAGCTTATATTATTTTACCAAATAATAAAAAATTATATATTGATGATGCACTTTATTTTAGCAAATGTAGAAATAATTTGCTTATTTTAAAGATATTCGCTGCAAGAAATATCACATTGAGACAATGTAAGAAAGTAATGTTAAATATCTTTGCAGAACTTCTTTCTATCTTGTCAGAAGCAGATAAAAGAAAAACTCCATGCATTTCCATCTGGCCTATATTATATATTAATAAAAAATAGTTGAATCAAATATTGTCATGAACTAAAAGTTCGTTGACCCAATAAATTTTATACTTTGACATGATCGATTTGGATATCCAGGAGCTATAATGATGCGTCAAATAATAAACAGTTTACATGAACATCTTTAAAAAATCAGAAGATTCTTTTACCTAATAATTATCCATATGTAACATGTTCGCAAAGTAAGTTAGTCATTATACCTTTAACTACAAGGTTAATATTGAATCTCTAACTTTCTTAAAAAGAATCCATGGAGATATATGTGGACCAATACTTCCACCATGTGGGTCATTTCGTTCTTTTATGGTATTAATTGATTCTTCTACTAGATTGTTACATGTTTGCCTACTTTTCGCCAGGAATATAACATCTACTAGACTACTTGTTCAAATCATAAAATTACAAGCGCAATCTCCCGACTACCTAATCAAGACTATTTGTCATGGCAATGCTGGTGAATTTAAATCACAAGTATTCGATGATTATTGTATGTCAATTGAGATTGTTATTGAATATTCGGTGCGCATATCCATACACAAAAATGGTTTAGCGGAGTCATTAAT